CCTTTGCTACTTTGCACCTCACTATTTCGCTACTTCACCCTTTGCTACTTTGCACCTCACTAATTCGCTACTTCACCCTTTGCTAATTTGCACCTCACTAATTCGCTACTTCACCCTTTGCTACTTTGCACCTCACTAATTCGCTACTTCACCCTTTGCTACTTTGCACCTCACTAATTCGTTACTTCACCCTTTGCTACTTTGCACCTCACTAATTCGCTACTTCACCCTTTGCTACTTTGCACCTCACTAATTCGCTACTTCACCCTTTGCTACTTTGCACCTAACTAATTCGCTACATCACCCTTTGCTACTTTGCACCTCACTAATTCGCTACTTCACCCTTTGTTACTTTGCACCTCACTAATTCGCTACTTCACCCTATGCTACTTCGCACCTCACTAATTCGCTACTTCACCTTTGCTACTTTGCACCTCAGTAATTCGCTACCTCACCCTTTGCTACTTTGCACCTCACTAATTCGCTACTTTGCCCTTTACTATTTCGCCCATTGCCCTTTTTCCTTTGCCCTAAAGTTACTCCCAATGTGGAAAATAAAGGAAGATTTTATCGCATACCTTTTTGTAATAGAATAAAATAAAGAATTTGATGATTGTGATGAGAGGTAACATCGGACAAAAGAATGCTCCAAGCCTGCAAAAGTTTAATCGAATAAAAAACTTATCAATGAGGTAGAATCATATCCTATCTCAATTGTAAGAACGCATGCGAAATTAATGATTCAGAGCAGACACTAAAATAAACCTAATGTAAGTCGATCTACATGATTCTGAAATTCGAGAGCCAACCTTTTGAATATAGAAACTATACATTTAAATATGTCATGAAAATGTGAATGATTTGTTTCAATGTTTAAGGCTTATGTATAAATGTATAATTTAATGTAAACACAAGAGCTAAACCAGTGAATAATTTGTTTAAATGCACAAGAATGTTTTTTATAATGAGCACATCACAATACTTTACCATGTACACGTGACTTTGCCAGGTACATGCGACTTTCCATATGCAAGAGACTAAACTAAGCCATGTATCGGGACTATTATACAGTGAGATCTGGGTAATTCCCTATGACTTGATTTCTGAAATTTCATAGCTACTGATAATCTATATTTGTTGTTTTCAATCCCTTTATCTTTTATGCAGTAAGATTTTGCACCTAAGAATAAGCTGAATATGTTGAATAAGACCCAAAACGATAATAAGAAAAACAAATATAAGGAAGAAGTCATAAAAAAATACAAACCAACAAAGAGCCTGCGAGTAAATAAGGCTGAGCACGTTTCTTGAAATATCGAATCCAGGTAAGTCGAAGTCACACCCCAAAGCAGCATTCATGCACACTGCAAATGAGCTGTTGAAATGTGTGAGATTTGTTACAAATTTAAGCCAGTGACAGAAAATATTGCACCAAAGAGGAAATTATTGTAATAGAAATGATTGTTTCAGATCATATTGAATCAAGTCATTTTCGAAGTTTGTGTGAAACTTAGAAGTTAAATGATCACTTAATTATGGCCGGTAATTGATATATGTTTTAAAAGCAACTTACTGTCTCACAGTTTCTCCAATAAAAGTCGCAAGCAAGAGGAAAACAAAGTCCACGATTGCTAGTTGATAGAACTGCACTCCAACAGATGTTTCCCAACAATACGGCTAAAATATAATGACAGCGATAAGCTATAAAACCTTCAATTGAAAACACTTAGTGAACTAAATACCACATCTGCTAAGTCGCCTACCAAGCATTGATAATTATTGAATGCTGCGCTTTCAGAAGTTCGATTTGCTCTCGCTTCATTTACGTTCCTTCGGTCTTTATCACGTGACGAGTGAAAAGGCAATTGTTGGTAGTCTCTGTTCGACTAAAGCTACACTTGTGGCCTGATCACTGCGGTTAATGAATGCAAAGAACTTCCTGCACCTTCATGTTTAGGTTGTCACTTGTAACGAATGTTAACGGATAAAATTTCTAGTCAATCATAACTTTGATTATGTTAAAGAAAGACCCTAGGACCCTAAAGCAAAGCCCTCACAAGGGAAAGAGCATACCGTGACAGCCACTGACGTATTAGAGAGAGTAGTATTCTTTGCGATATTAGTATTAAAGGTCCCCGTTTCTATGCTGCGGTAAATGAGCCAGATGTATATGCACAAGGTTGAAAGCTTAAGAACGACCGTTCTGCAAAGCAAAAAATATCAAATTAAACAGACGATGGGATTTAGAGTGAAAATACAGAATGTTTAATGTCGTTTAGTGAAAACATTCTTAAAATTATGGATCATATTTCCAGATATCTGACTGTATAGAGCCCCGTTTTTCTTTGTTTCAGTGTTGAATCCCAAATTTAATTTACAAAGAGGGCATAATGTATTTCCTTTACACATAATTTTCCTTCTAATAACATAATCTATAGAACCAAGTCTTTATTTTTTGTAAGATATCACCTTAGGGAGGGGGAGGATAACTAGGCTTAGCTTAGTTTTGAAAGGGAACGTACTATTTTAGTTCAAAATTTGGACCCATACTTCCGCACGTGTCTGAAAAAATGTGAGTCATAATTTCGCAAAAATGATACAAGCTCTTATAACATTTTTAAAACACAATACAATCATCAAAAAGATTTTGTCCTATTTCCAAAAATCCCAACATTACACATATTTCATACTTTCATTTCTACCTGGAAATTCATTCTATAAATGCTAAGTTTCTATCCTAATAATTTTGCAATATTTATCCAAAACTGTACCCATAATTCTCCATGTTTCTTCAAATGGTACCTGTAATCTCGCACATATTTAAAAAAACTGATACCGAAATATCTGCATTTTTTTGACAAAGGTTCCCCTAAATGATGGCACGTCCTCGTACTTCAAAATCTATTAAAGTTCCCCCTCCCCGAGGATATCACGCATCATTGACCAGATTTATACAAAATATATCGAGCCGCATAATTATGATAATAATAAATTATGACATAATTGTCAAGAGCCATGAATAACAAGTGCTAAAACCATGAAAACCTGAGAAGAGAGACTTCGATTGTTCTTTTTGGTGACTCGTAGTGCTCCATGCTTGCAATAATTCGAAAAACATACGGCAACACAATGTTTAATGTCGTTATGGTTATTGCAGGAAGAAGGCTTATGAAGACTTTTGTTAACTCGGTCTCTGTAATTGCATCCTAGGGAAGAAATAGGCGATTGTTCTTCATCATTGGTTTTCATTTTCTCTATTTCGCTGTACAGCTGTCTCAGGATTACCTACTCAACCTTTTCACAGTATATGCCGTAGATAGCGAATATCGAAAATTGTCGTTTGTTATGTAATGCAGAAGATTTCGTGCATGGAACAACTGCTAAGAGTTTTGTATCAGTGTGTTAGAGTGCAAACGTTTTGAAGACACATCACGGCTTTTAGACGATATTGTTGCCATAGCCAAATATTAATCTAACTTGAAGAATGGAATGGCAGGGAAGAGGACCAGCCCTAATTTGCTATCGAACCCTTAAACATAAACCAAATTCAAGATCGTTGATCGCATATTCCTCTATATAGATGCTATAACGATTCTTTAACTGTATAACGGTATAAATCATGACATACAGAGTCACATCAGATTGTTTCGATCATCATTTCCAGCACATTTGTTGTAAATTTACCCTGATATTCCATTTAACTCACTTTGATTATTTGAATGCCTTTCATTTTCATCCAGTGAATACCATAGCAAGCTCCTCCTATCAGACCAATTGCTATCAAATTGGTGATGAACAACACTATGAACATATGAAATTGTTCATCACTTGTCTTTTTTCGCTTTTCTCTTCCCTCATTTAGAGTTTCCTGATAAAGAAATAAAAATATGATTATATTCAAAATTAATCAATTAAGTCACACACTATAACAGAATAACAAGTCTGAAAACTTCAAAGCTTTATCAAATGCCAGAAAAGGCACCGCGGTCGGCTAGGGGGCTATGCCCCCTCCCCCCCCCCACTTTTTGCCAAAAATGCAAAAACATTAAGAAATGAACCATCAGTCAAGCCTCTTTTTATTTCGTTTTAGCCCTCCCCCCACTTTTCAGACCTTCCCTCACTCTTCTCAACGATTCGCGGTGCCTAAATAATTTACATTACATAAAGAGCGAATGGATTATGCACGGCCAACTACTTCACTACTTTTTAAATGTCACTGGAATATCTAAACCAACAACCAAGGAAATGAAATGTACCTTATGGCTTAGTTCGACATGTAAAAATCTAAAAACATTACAATACACTGAACAGTTAAACTAGATTCAATGTGAGATGCATCACATGTATCGGCTGTGATAAGCACATTTCGAATGACATGGCAATGCAAGATCCCTTAAGTGATTGCATCAGTGGCGGAAATTCATTCTTCAAGTGGGGGGGGGGGGGCAATGCCCACAAAAGCAAGCAAATT